GGTGTAAGAAGCCAAAAGTGTCAGAGCAAACTGATTGATACAGGGAAATGGAAGAAAATGTCCAAAAGGGACAGGGAACAAGGAGGGAGAGAGGGAAAAGGAAGGAAGGAAAAAGGTGAAAAAAAAGAAAAATGGAAACAAAGCTTTTGTAAAGCAGGGTATGGTGGCACATGCCTATAATCTTAGCACTCGGGAAGCTGAGATAGGAAGATGGCTGTGGGTTCAAAGCCAGCTTGGGCTGCAAAGTGAGCTAAAGACCAGCCTGAACCGCATTGTGAGACCTTATCTCAAAAAGACCAAGGGAAAAAAAAAAGCTTTTGTACATAAAGAGGGAAGGGGTTGAAGGGAGGGGAGGAAAATGGGGGGGAAAAAAGCAAGAAATGTCATGCACAGGTACAAATTCCCTATGATGAATATGATCATTATGTATATCTAAAATGCACCAATAAAACTAATTAAAATATTTGTCTATTAAAAAAATATTTGTCCATTAATACATGCTGGATTAGAAATTTAAAATGAGTCAGTCATGGTGGCACATTCCTGCAATCTCAGTACTTGGAAGGCTGAGCTAGGAGGATTGATGAGTTTGAACCTAGTTTGGGCTACAAAGTGAGTTCAAGGCCAGCCTGAATTGCATAATGAAACCCTGTTTCAAAAAGAAAAACAGTGCCAGGGAGAAAAACAGTGCTCAGTGGCACAGCAACTGCCTGGTAAGTGGAAGATCCTGAATTTGAGTCTCAGTACAAAAAAAAAAAAAAAAAATCCACTTGTTAATATCAATACTGGTCATAACACAAAAGTATTTAAATGTTAGGACATTTTTTTTCCTTAGCTACATCCTTATCCTTAACCTTTTTACAGTGGCACCTTAGTACTTGTCATTAATTGATTTGGGAAGGTGCAACAAGTATCAAATGACAACAAGAAGCAAACAAATTATTTTGGTTTGAGAGGATATCAAATTATAAGCAATTGACAAGTTCCAGTTTGCAGATCACAAATAACAACTACAAGAACACAGTCTTCATATCAAAATGCATCAAGTACCAAATTCAAGTTTCAAAGCTATTGAGTACCAAGTGTGGTTATTTTGAAACTGGTCTCATTAAATTGCTAAATTACCCAGGTTATGCTTAAACTTGGGATCCTCCTGCCTCAGCCTCGCAGAATGCTGAGGATACAGGCATATGTCACTATGCCTGGCAACATTATAAAACTTTTTTTTTTGCAGAACCAGGGATTGAATTTAGGCCCTTGCACTTGCCAGGCAAGTGCTTAGTCCACTGAGCCATCTCCCCAGACCCATAGCAAACTTTTAAGCTCACAAGGATAGGTATACATTTTTGTCTGAAAGTTTTGAGTTTCATCATTGGCAACACTCAATTATTTTCCCCAAAGTTATAGGCTCACTTTATTCATTGTTCAAAAAATTCTAGTACATTAAAATACAATTAATTTTGTGTCTTGATCCATCCTTACACTTTGTTAAACATTACTTTTGGTAATTTTTTGGGAAATCTTCAGTTTTTTTATGTATATATCTTTTGTATATAAAGACGCTTTTACGGAAACACAGATATGTGAATGATCAATAAAGTTTGCAATGTAACCTGAGGGGGGGGGGAAAATAAAATGATACACATAGAAAAAAAAAAAAAACAGACAAAACCAAGTCCTGAGCTAATTATCATAAAGTGAATGAGCTCTGAATATATTAAAGACAATGTGAAAGTGTTCTATCCAAAATGAGTTCAAGAACGTTAGTTTAAAGAACACCGTTTATGACTCTAAGGCACTATCATATGTGTGATGATTTTAAAATAAATACTTGCAGGGCAAAAAAAAAAAAAAAAAAGACGCTTTTACTTTTTTTTTTTTTTTTTCCTTTCTTTGGGCAGGGTCTTACTATGTAGTTCAGGCTGGCCTTGAGCTCACTTTGTAGCCCAGACTGGTCTTGAACTCACAATGATCCTCCTACCTCAGCCTCCTGAATGCTGGGATTATAGGTGTATACCACCACACCCCACCACCTTTACTGCCCCCCCCCATGTGATTTTTTTTGTTTTTGAGATAGTCCAGGCTGGCCTTGAACTCAGCAGTCTTCCTGCCTCAGCTTCCTGAGTACCGGAATTACAGGTGTGAATCACCACACCCCACACACAGCTACCTTCCATAAGTTGTTCTGCTTTATTCCACTGCATAGGACTTTTAGTATACTGTTGAATACAAGTGGTCATAGTACTCTTACCTTGTTTTAATTTTTAGGGGAAAAACATTCAGCATTTCATTTTACCACAACATAAGAAAGTTTTAGTTATGTGTTTGCAGCTGTCCTTTACTAGGCTGAGGAAGTTCCCCACTATTTCTAGTTTACTGATATTGTTAAAAATCACGAGTGATGATATAGCTTAGTGACATAGTACCTGCCTAGCAAGTGCAAGGGCCTGAGTTCAATTCCTGGAACTCAAAAATAATATTATGAATGGTTTGTTTTTCTTTAAAAGATTTTACTGAAGTATTGAGAAGATCATATAGTTTTTTCTTATTCTGTTAATATGATTCATATTGGCTTTTGTAATAACCAGATTTCTTGTTGCTGATGCGTAAAACCCTGCATCCATAATTAAAGGAAAGATTTCATTTGCTTATAATTCAGACTGTGATTGGCTGGTTCCAAGTAGACATCATGGTGGAAAACTACTTAGTTTCTGTGGGTGGTAAGCAAAACAGGGAAAAAGTGTAAGATTACCCCTCTGTGATCCACTGAGACATACCTAGAAAAGTGCCCCATCAGTCCCCAGTAGAGATCCCAAAGCCAATCAAGTTGAAATTCCATTTTATTTTATTTATTTATTTTGGCAGAACTGGGGATTGAACTCAGGCCCTTATGCTTGCCAGGGAAGCATTTATTCCAGTGAGCCATCTCCCCAGCCCTGAAATTCCATTTTAAACACCACAGTTTATTTTTTAGTGACAAACCACTTTACATTTGTATGAAAAACACATTTGCTAGATTTATAATCCCAGAACTCTGGGAGACTAAGGCAGGAGATTCACAAATTCGAGACTAGCCTTGGCAATGTAGGGACTTAATGAGACCCTATCTTAAACTTTAAAAAATGCAGTCTGTAATCCCAGCACTAGGGAGACTGAGGCAGGATTGTTGTGACTTTGAGACCAGCCTGCACTACAAAGTGAGCTCAAGGCCAACCTGAATTGCACAGCAAGACCCTGTTTCAAATAAATAAATAATAAAGTAGGGCACTGGACCTGGCAGCACATGCCTGTGATCTCAACACTTGGGATGTTAGGCAGAATGGCTGCCACGTTCACAGCTAGTTTGAATTATAAGGGAAGACCTTGTCTCAAAATTTTTTGTTGCTGTTACAGGGGATTGAATTTTTTTTTTAATATTTATTTTTATTTATTACATTTATTTATTGTGTGTGTGTGGCCAGCTCAGCCCACCAGGGGGCGGGGCTGGCTGGCATGTGGTGCTGGAGGATCGAACCGAGGTCCCTGTGCTTTGCCAAGCTTGTTTCAAGTAGGTGCTTTAGACCACTGAGCCATCTCTCCAACCCCCAGGGGATTGAATTCTGGACCTTGCTCTTATCAGGCAGGCACTTATGCCACTGAACTATCTCCTTGGCCTCTCAAAAAATTAATTAAAAAAATAAATGAATAAAAATAAAAAAGGGGGGCCAAGGAAATGCCTTAGTAGAATAAGTGCTTCCTTGGCAAGCACAAGGGCCTAAATTCAATCCCCAGTTCTGCAAAAAATAAATAAATAATAAAAATAAAAATAAAAGGGGGCCTGGCCAAATAGCTTAGAGGAATAAAGTACTACAAGCATGCACAAGGGCCAGGGGTTCAATCCCCAGGCCTACCATGCCAGCCCCACCCCCCAGGGCATGCTGAGCCAGCAACTGAGACTGGGCTTGGCAGCCCACGCCTATAATCCCGCCTCTTGGTAGGCTATAAACAGGTCACTATGAATCTGATCTAGTACTGAAACCCTGAACACCCCATAGACCCTTCCCTAAAATACAAATAAATAAATCAATAATAAAAAAGGCCAAGGCATGTGGGTCAGTGTGAAGGCCCCGAGTTCAATCTGTAGTACTGAAAACAACATAAAAAAAAGCACGTGATTCTTTCGGTAATACTAGGAGTGAAACCTAAGGATACTCTACCACTAAGCTCTATCTCTGGCCCATTTTATTTTTGAAGAGAAACCCTCACTAAATTACCTAGTCAAATTTGCAATCCCTGTGCTTCAGTCTCCCAGAGTACCAGGATTACAGGCATGTGCCACTGTGCCAGGCCATGATACATTACTTTTATATATTGCTGGATTCTTGCATCTGAAGGGTTTTTGTTTTGTTTTTTGGTTTAGGATTTGTTTTGTTGTGTCATTTGCTTGTTTGTTTTTTCTTTTGAGACAGGTCTCACTGTAGTTCAAGCTGGCCTTGAACTCACCATGTAGCCCAGGCTAGCCTCAAAGGTGACCCTCCTGCCTCAGCTCCTGGAGTGCTGGGATTACAGGCATATACCACCACACGTAGCCCTTGCTCATGTGTTCAGGAGTGATATTGGCCTGCAGTTTTCTTTTCTTGTAATATTTTTTATTTTGTTATCAGGTGAAAAATGAACTTGGGAAGTGTCCCTTCACTTCTGTTCTGAAAGAATCTGCGTAAGATTGGCATTCTTTTTTCCTCAAATAATTGTTAGAAATCAACAATAAAGCCAAGCGGGCCTGAAGATAGGTGTTTTGTTTCTTTTCCTGGGGTGGGGAGGAAGAGAGCATACAGGAATAGCAAATTTTTAATTATTAATTCAACTGCTGCCAAGCATGCAAGAGGTGCTAGAGTTGATTTTCACACTGCAAAGAAAAAAAGGAAAAATTCCTAGCACTACAAAAAGAAGAAAGGATGAGAAACGAAGGAAAACAGGGAGGGAGAAAGTTCTAAATTAATAAAAAGGTCAGGAGGCAGGGCTGCAGATCACAGGATTTATTAAGATGTAATCACTGCTAATTACATTAAGCTACTTGCCTAAACCCAAATCCATGAGGTTCCTAATGTGAAACAAATGGCATGTTTAAAAGCACAAAGAGCTTGATATCCAGGTAATGAAGGCCGAATGAGTCTGCACTTATTTCAAGCTATTGAAGAGTTTGTGGGCCACCTAGATGGGGGGGAAAAAAAAAAGTCATCAATTGGCTGCTTTCATGTTATAGATTGATTACAAGGTTCTTCCTAACCTACAACAGTTGCTAAGTGTGGTGGTACACTTGCGGGCTGAAGCAGGATGATCACTGAGAGTTGGAGGCCAGCCTGAGCTACATGAGACTCTACCTCAAAAACCAAACCATCAGCCAGTAGTGATGACACACACCTGTAATCCCAGCACTCAGAAGGGTAAGGAAGGATTGCTGTGAGTTGTCAGCCTGGACTACATAGTTCAAGACCAGCCTGAACTACTCAGCAAGACCCTGTCTTAACAGAACCATCCATCAGAGACCTACAACAGTACAACAAGGTCCTTACCCACCACGCCCTTTCTGCATCTGAGCCCAGTGAATGCCCCTCAATTACCTAAACCTATCCCCTCTACCCAAAACTCTCCCATTATTTTCATCTTTTAGTCTTCATTTAAAATTTGCATTTCTGGTAAGCTTTCCCTAAATAAGCCCTTATTACCATACAAATCTGTCCTTTGTCTTCCCCACAAACTTGTACCTCTCATCACAATGATATATTACACTTCCTTTTTAATTAAAACATTTTTCTTTTTTTTGGTGCAGGGTCTCACTATACAGCTTGGACTCATAGTGATCCTCCTGATTTCTGCCTCCCTAGTGCTGGGATTACAGGTATGCACCACCACACCTGGACTCTACCACTGGCTCAGTGTGCCCAGGGGTGGAGCCAGCACGGCATACTGGTTGAAAAATTTCTTGACACTACTGGGGATTGAATCAAGAGCCTTCCCACCAAGCTACATCTACACCTTTTTTTTATTTTGAGACAAGGTCCCTAAATTGACCAGGCTGGATCTTGCAGTCATCCTATGCAACCTCCCAGAGGAGTACAGGTGTGCACTTCCATACATAGCTTAATATTGCACATTAATTAAATACACCAGGCATTGTGGCGCATGCCTGTTAATCCCAGCACTTGGGAACATAAGCAAATTCAAAGCCTGCCTGCACTACATAGTGAGATCCTATCTCTTAAAAAAAAAAAAAAGATTCATATTAATTAAATACTTATAAGTGCCTGCCGAGCAAATGCAGGGTCCTGAGTTCAAATCCCTGGTACTGAAAAAAATAAAATTAAATTAAAAAATTAAGGGCCAGCCAGATAGCTCAGCAGATTAAAGCACCTGCTTAGGCAGAGCACAGTGGCTGGGATTTGATCCCCTTCGTGTGGTACCAGCCCTGCCCCTGGCGCATGCTGAGATGGTGATTGAGACTGGGCGTGGTGGCGCATGCCTGTAATCCTAGCACTTGGAAGGCTGAAAACAGGTGAATCACTATGAGTTCGACCTGTGTAGTGAGACCCTGTACTAAATACATTAAAAAAAAAAAACCAAAAAAAAACTTATAGAAATATTACTCCAACTAGGTACTATCCTAAGAGCTGAGAATTATAACTATATATAAGACATCTTTGTTGCTTATGTAACTTAGAAACTAATAACAGAAGTATAATAAACACATAAATAAGGTAACCCTTTTTGGGGGCTTGGGGGTTTGGTGCACCACTCCTGGAGGTAATGTGTAATACTAGGTCAATGTATGAAGTGGACAGAGCAAGTTCCTATTCCATCTTCTTGGTCAAAAAATCCATTTAATCTATTGTCCTTGAAACAGAAGATGTGTCAAATGTTAAAACTGCTATGTACAGATATTATACTTTAGCCAGAGGCCAAGAAGCAATAACAAGGTAACTTCTGATAGTAGCAAATGTTCAATTGAAAATTAAATGGGGGAGGGCATGAAAGGAGTTGGGGAGTCAGTGAATGCCATCCTTAAGTTATACCTGAAAGACTTACCAGTTTAGTAACTTTTTTACTTCTGTCTTATATGCCGGCCCATAAACTCAGTGAAGGGACTATGGTTATCTCACTTCCATATCCTAAGCCTCGTTTTTTCCTTGTATTTAGGACAGGGTCTATAGGGTCTCACTACATAGATCTGGACTCGTAGTGATTCTGTTCTTAGCCTCCCAAGTGCTGGGATGACAGGCGTGCACCACCATGCCCAGTCTCCCTGTGGGAAGGGCCAGCACAGCTAAGCCTAAGTTTACCTCATAAAAGTATTTAAAAATACCTGCTGAGGGGGCCGGGGAGATGGCTCAGTGGAATAAGTGCTTCCCTGGCAAGCGCAAGGGCCTGAGTTCAATCCCTGGTTCCGCCAAAAAAAAAACAACAAAAAACAAAAAACCTGCTGAATGATTATAAAGTGGGAAGCAGTAAATACCAGGAGGGGATATAATAAGGGTGACTGTCCTGTATTAGACATTTCATGTTAGAATCTTATAGTATGGATGACTGTGTCTGGCTTATCTCACTTAGGACGTAACACAACGCTTTTTGTTTCTACAGTATAGTTACTGGAGTTTCAACCCAGGACCTTCATAATGAGCTGTGTTTATAGATCTTTCTTTTATTTTTGGAGAGAGGGTCTCACTGAATCACTCAATTGCCCAGGTTGGGCTCAAACTTGTAATCCTCCTGCCGCAGTTTCTCATAGTGCTGGGATTACAGGTACATGCCACCACAGGGCTAGTACTTCTTAAATTATAGGCAATAAGGATATAGTTTAGTGACACTTAGGCCCAGAGTTGAATACCTAGCACCACCACCATCCCCAAAAGTAGTAAAATATACACTGAACTTACCACCTTAATCATTTTATGTCATTTCTATAGTATTGAGTATGTACATTGTTCTGCAACTATCAATATCCAAAATCTTTTTTTAAAAAATCTTTTCATTTTCCAAACTGAAATTTCTGACTCATTAAACTATAGCTCTCCATTTCCTCTCCCTCCAGCTTCTGACTACAAGTATACTTTATCTCTCAGAATGTGCTACTCCAGGTACTTTTTTGATGATATAATGTAAGTGCTTTGTGACTTATTTGCACTTAGCATATCTTCAACAATTATCTGCTGTAGCATGTATTTTTCATTTATTTATTCATTTATTATTTTTATTTTTTTTAATTATTTATTTTAT